TCTCTGTGTAGGGATGAAAGTAAGGGCTAGACCAGGGGTGTCAAACTGGCGGCCCTCCAGCTGTTGCAAAACTACAAGTCCCATCATGCTTCTACCTTTAGGAGTCATGCTTGTAACTGTCAATCTTGCAATGGCTCATGGGACTTGTAGTTTGACAACAGCTGGAGGGCCACCAGTTTGACACTCGTGGGCTAGACGGTTTCTGACTGGTCAGCACCAACTACGTTTTCCAGAGATCTTTGATCAAGTGATGACACAGATATAGTTTGCCCTCTTCTACCTCTTATGCTGTGCAGATTCTGAATGCTGCACAGAGCGGTGGGTTATCTGCAGCATTCTCCCGCTAGCCCAGGGTGGGGGTAGGGCCTTTATACCCTTGGGTTGCAAGCAGAGGTTTGAATAACATTCAGCCCAAAAGATGAACAGTATTGGATTCCTGTGTGGGCAAGACAGAGCTTGAAAGGTTTTTATAACACCAGAGCCAATTTTCTTTTTTTTATTTCCAACACTTGCTAAGGATTGAAATTATTTATATTGTGCCCAAGTTGGATTTGAGTTTTAATACAAACTTAATGTACGTGTACAGAAATCGTCAGACACACAATTTATTTGTGTACTAAATAAAGTTTATTGTCCTTTTAATTCATAAAGGCCCAACGCGTTACACAGCTCTGTACATTAAAACCAAGACAGGAGTCGTGTTGCAACTTCATAAATCTTGTCTTACCACATAGAGGAAGGATGACTATGTTAGGGGAAGAAGTGACTGCTGGGGGAAGGATGTTGGGCATGCCAGGCAACAAGTTAAACTCCATATTAATAACCGTGAGATGTCCAAAAAGCTCATATTTGGCAAACGAGTGTACATAAAACTTTTTATTACCAAGGACGACATCTGCCAGGGCTGAGCAAATCCATTTCCAAACTGTCATGCAGGGCAAAGGAACACATATCTTCTGCCTACTCTTGCTTTCGCTCTGATGCTGCCCTATTCAATATCTTCTAGAGAGGTCTGAGCAGCCAATCAGCAGACCCCCGCAGTGTCACATGAGACAGGGAGAGACTTGAAGAAGAGGCTCATGGGATTGGCACTAGAGCTGAGCAGAGGTCAATAGGATGGGCATGCACAGGGCACAAATAGGTGATCCTCGTGGTAAAAACAGTGGAAGTGACAACAGTGGAAGACATCGGTGGAAGAGCAGGGAGTTCAGAGGTCAGAACCGTCAGTCAATCCAACATTGTCCTCCATAGTTCACTCAGGCGATCAAGGAAAACATTGCCCTCCAGCTCATTGAGTATCTACAAGTGTTCAACTACAACGTAACTAACTTAGATTTACATTTTTTTTTTAATGCAGCACCGGCACCAATAACCCCCAAAAATCGAATTTGCTAATTTTCTGGTGCCATGTCATGTCGGTCATGTAGTTTTTCCTCCAAGTAGGTACAGCTTGAGGCTCCCAAAAATACTTATTGTGGCCGCTTGCTCAATTTTCCGACAGTCTACACATGTGAAAAGACCAGAGCACAAGAAAAGAGCGAATGTTCTACCAGACTGGTTGAAAGATGAGTTAGTACACCATCGGTGTATGGAAATGTATAAAGAGGGCATCCAATAGAGGGAAGATACCAGGAGAGGTTGTGAAAGTGAAACTCCACACAAATCACAAACACAGTTGACATACAGTACTGTGCGAAAGTTTTAGACAGCTGTGAAAAAAATGCTGTAAAAGAATGCTTTCAGAAATAGAAGTATTCCTAGTTTTTTTTTTATATCAGTTAACAAAATGGATAGTAAACGGAGAGAGGAAAAATCCAAAAGCAAAATCAATATTTGGTGTGACTACTAGTGGTGCACCGAACTGAAAATTCTGGTGCCGAAACCGAAAATTCAGGATGCACTTAGCCAAAAACCAAAATGGACAGTTTTTAAAAATGAATAAATGCGAAAAAATACACTTTGATTGAAAAAAAACCCCGCAATATATAACTCAATTTTGTTTTAAACATGAAAGATGATGTTACGCCGAGTAAATAGATACCCAACATGTCATGCTTTAAAATTACACATGCTCGTGGAATGGCATCAAACTGCAGTACTGAAAAATCTCCATGGGTGATGCTTTAAACATTTCTACAGGTTACCAGTGTAAAGTTACAGAGGAGGTCTAGTGCGAGAATTATTGCTCTTGCTCTGACGTTCGTGGCGATACCTCACGTCTGTAGTTTGAACTCCGTTGTTTACACGTGGGTGTGGCCAATGTATGAGTTCGCCACTATACGAGAGCACGGGGGGGGGGGGGGGTGGGGGCACTTTAAACTTTATTTATTTTACACTGTCCCTTTTAAAAAAAAAAAAAAAAAAAAATCACTTTTATTCCTATCACAAAAAATGCATGCATCCCTTGTGATAGAAATAATTAATGACAGGTCCTCTTTATGGAGAGATATGGGGTCAATAAGACCCCACATCTCTCCTCTGCAATGTAAAGCATTAGATAAAAAAAAGCATTGATCTAGTGCTTTAAAAAAAAAAAAATATATATATATATAAAAAATGACCTTGTTTACAAGGCTCCGTCACCAGAAGTGACATCATTCCAGCCCTCCAAGGGCATAGAGATGAGTGGAGGCCATCTTTCCTTCACTTATCTCTATGCCCAGCATGGGTATCATTCGGTGGTTTCTCAGGTAAGGCTGAGAACTACCCAGCGTTGGCGGCAGTGGCAGGCAAGGGGCGGCAGCGGCGAGGTTATTTTCGGCACCTGTATTGGTGCTTATTTTCGTATCCCCCAATGGCAGATAGGAGTGTTTTTAGCCGAAACATTTCGGCCACTGAAATTTCGGTGCATCCCTAGTGACCTCCCTTTGGCTTCAGAACTGCATCAGTTCTTCTAGATAGATGTACACACAGTTTTTGAAGGCACTCAGCAGGTAGGTTGTTCCAAACATCCTGAAGAACCACAGATCTCTGGATGTAGGCTGCCTCAAATCCTTCTGTCTCTTCATGTAATCCCAGAAAGACCCCATAATGATGAGATCAGGGCTCTATGGGGGCCAAACCATCACTTACAGTTTCTATGTTTTCATCCATAGTTCAGTGTCTTAGCCTTGTTTTCAAGTCGGAGGTATGGCATTTTGGCCACAGTTCTTCCATGGAGACCACTTCTGGCCAGACTTCTCTGAACAGTAGATGGGTGCACTTGGGTCCCACTGATTTCCGCCAGTTCTGTGCTGATGGCACTGCTGGACATCTTCCAATGTCGAAGGGCAGTAAGCAATAAGTTTTCGTGGCGGACCACAGTCCTCAACATTGCCCGTTTCTTTGTGCTTCTTCCAAAGAGCTTGAACAGCACATCTTGAAATCCCAGTCTGCTTTGAAACTTTTTCCTGGGAGAGACCTTGATGATGCAGTATAACTACCTTGTGTCTTGCCAGGGTGTCCTGTGACAAGAAAATGTCTTCCACAACCTCACTTTAGTAGCAGAGTTTGGCTGTTCTTCACCCAGTTTTAAACCTGCTGCACATTAGTTTGTTTCAGTTAAAGTGATTGTAAACCCTTACATACTGTATACCCAGTGAAGCAAATGGCCTCAGGTGATACACAAAGATGAAACAAATCCTCTTACATAAGTTGTACCTGTTTATCTGCAGTCTTCACTTCTCTACTGCCATTTAAATGGCAGAATTCATATACCTTGTCTGAGTTGTCAGAAAACAGGGGGCAGAGAGCTGAAGTCATACTCCACAGTCATACTCAATGAGGAGAGCTCTGAGACCTGATTGGACAGAAGGGACTCACCCTCCCCTCCACACAACTCACAGAAACAGAGCTGAGGATATCAATCAGCTGGAAGTCCTTCCCAGTCATCATTTTTCTCTTGGTGTCAGGAAAACTTGTCAGAATGGATGCATGCTGATAGAGGAACGAAGCAGCAGACAGAAATGACACTTAATTGAGACAAGTACACACTATAAAGGGATATGCTTTGTTCATATTACATGCTTGAGGTTTACAACCACTTTAATGACTATGTTTCAACCTACATATGAAATTGATGATCATTAGCACCTGCTTGGTATAACTATTCATGCACCTGACGCTAATCCTACAAAATCCATGATATTGCACAAGTGTACAAACAGTGTAAGTGTAAGAATTGAGCTGGTTTGAAGCCAAAGGGTAGTCACACCAAATATTCATTTGATTTAGTTTTACTTCGGTTTGCTCACTTTGCATTTTGTAAATTGATACAAATAAATAATATATATTTTTAAAAAGCATTCGTACTTTACAGCACTTCTTCACACCTGCCTAAAAATTTTGCACAGTACTGTATGTTTATGGTTTCACCAGCCATAAGTTCCACATTGCACAGCCTGGCGGGTGGTCCACATAGTTCTCAACTAAACAATTCAGCTTCCTGGTTTAGCAATTCAGCTTCCTGTGTCACCTCACTGGACAGCAAATCAGGATCATCACCTGTGTCCAGTGAGCTGTCCTGGAAAGTAGTAAACCTTCTGGCAAAGCCGATGTATGCTGCCTAGCAGGTTGATGACCAGATCTTCTTTAAAATGGGACTGCCAAGACATCCTCTTCAGCTTGGCATGGGTGCCTGATGGACCTATAGGCTGTAATTGATTCCCAAAAAAAACAATTAAAGACCTTAAAAGGCACGACGCACACATCAAGCTTGATGCACAAAAAATCAGGCCGGTACCGGTTTTTTTTTTCCAACGCACTGCACCAATTTTTGGCATGCTCCTGGCTACAAGAACATACCTCAAAATATCTTACTGGCATTTTAAGAATAACTTCCTTTATACTCTTAGATACGATCAGAGGCGCATCTTACGCCAATAGAGTGCTACTATCGCTAGAGGTAGAAATTGACAAAAAGAAACAGAAAGCCATATCTGTCTGAGCTAATGGTGCGCCACATCTACTGGGAAACCTCCTCCCATTGGATGTTTTCCATGTGTATTGAGAGAGGCCATCTGTTATCTTTCCGTCCCAAAGCTATTATAAATTAAATATTGCTTCTCTGCTGCATGCATTTTCTGGTGTTGGGCGAGATGCGATTTCTGAGCAAAGCATTTTCCACACTCTGGACACGAGACCGGCATCACCCCCCGATGCTTCCTTATGTGATAGAAGTGGGATGACCGCCATTGGAAACACTTCCCGCATTCAGAGCACCGGTACTTCTTCTCACCAGTGTGCATGCGCTGATGCTCAACAAGGACCGATTTCCGGAGAAAACACTTCCCGCATTCAGAGCAGGAGAAGAGTTTTTCCTTGGAGTGCAACCTCTGGTGTCTAAGAAGGTTTGACTTCTTGGAAAACGCCTTCCTGCATAGGGGGCACGAGTGTGGCTTCGACTGCGAGTGGTTCCTCTGGTGCTTCAGGAGATTGGACTCCTCGAAAAAAGATTTCCCACACTGCAAACACGAAAACTCCTTCTTGATGGTGAGCGGTTTGTCGTGGCTTAAGGGATTTGGTTTCAGGTTAATGTCATCTCCATATGGAGAAAATGGACACTGATCTTCTATTTTGAATGTCCTCTGAGGTGGCACTGGGTTTGCTCCCTCACTTGGGTACAACCTCTGAGCTGGCAATGGGTTTCTGTCCTCTCTGAGGGGTCGGTGTCCCTCTACTTTGTACGTCCTCTGATGTGGCACCACGTTTGATCCCTCACTTGGGTATGTCCTCTGAGCTGGCAATAGGTTTGCATCCTCACTGAAGGGTTGGTGTCCTTCTACTTTATACGTCCTCTGGTGTGACACTGGGTTTGCTCTCTCACTGAAGTAAGTCCTATGAGGTGGCACTGGGTTTACTTCCTCACTGAGGTATGTCATCTGACGTGGCAATAGGTTTGCTTCCTCACTGAGGTGTTGGTGTCCCTCTACTTTGTATGTCCTCAAGTGCGGCAACAAGTTTGCTCCCTCACTGAGGTTCGTCCTCTGAGAGGACAACAACTTTGCTTCCCCAATGAGGGGTCGGCGTCCCTCTACTTTGTATGTCCTCTGGCGTGGCGCTAGGTTTGAGCCCTCACTGATGTACAGCCTCTGGGGTGACACACGGTTTGATCCTTCACTGATCGGTTCGCCATGCTTGAGACTAAGAAGCGTTTCATCCCCTATACAGGCTGTATAATTATTGTACGTCCTCTGTGGTGCCAGCGGATTTGGTCCCTCAGTGAGATGTGTCTTCTTGGATGGCACCAGGTTTGCTCCTTCAGTGAGATGTGTCTCTTAGATAGTACCGGATTTGCTCCCTCAGGGAGATGTGTTCTCTTAGATAGTACCCGGGTTTGTGCCCTCAGTGAGATGTGTCCGCTTAGAGGGCACCAGGTTTGCTCCCTCAGTGAGATGTGTCCTCTTAAATGGCACTGGGTTTGCTCCCTCATTGAGGGGTTCACCATGAGCAGGACTAAGGAATTGCTCATTCCTTACACAGACTGAGGTAGTCGGATCTGGTATAGCAGTGAAAGAGCCAACATGGGTAACAGGAACAGATGACAGGTATAAACAAGGAAGGACAGGATTGGGCTTAGGTAAAATGGGGACAACTCTCTGAGGATCTGCTGTGAAGTTACCACCTCTCCGTCTCCCTCTGCTATTTCTGTTGTATCGTCCATCTGAAACAAACACAAGAGGAGGATGGATTAAATATTAAACATTCTTCCTCAAAGTTAAATTCAAGCCCAGCTCGAGCCAAGAATGATTTGTCAGTTTTTAACCACTTCAATACCGGGCACTTTCACCCTCTACCTGCACAGGCCAATTTTCAGCGCTGTCACACTTTGAATGACAATTGCGCAGTCATGCAACACTGTAACCATATGAAATTTTGATAATTTTTTTTAGACAGATAGAGCTTTCTTTTGGTGGTATTTATTCATCACTGGGTTTTTTTTAAATATTAAACAAATGAAAAAAAAACTGAAAATTTAGAGAAAAAAAAAGTGTTTTTCTTAGTTTCTGTTGTAAAATTTAGCAAATAAGTAATTTTTCTTCTTCACTGATGTGCACTGATGAGGAGGAACTCGTAGGCAGCACTGATGGGCACTAAATATGGGTGTAACAGGTTACAAAAGGTGAAAGAAAAAAAAACCCCTGGCATTATCGGCACCTATTTTTTACGCCACCGATAACCCAATTTTTGGCCGATAATATATTGGTGCATCACTTCCAAAAAGGTTGGGTACCGCTGGTATAACTCCATCCATATGCTTGTTCTGAGGACTGAATGAAGGAAAATATCAAGAAGGGTCTGAATGCAATAAAGACGTGGAATGTTAAAAGAAAAAAGTTTAGGTAGAAATTCCACCTAAAATCCATCTCCAGTCAAAAAAAAAAAAAAAAAAATAATATAATAGAAAACCCAGAACCCCCGCATTTTTATCCTTATATCCCTCTAAATTATTTTACTTACCACAGTCTGCCATCATGTGATCCTCCAAGGCTCCTCCTCCAGAAGTGAAAACTGGTAATCCACCAACTCCAGAAGAAAAAAGACCCGGGACCCAGTGCGCCATGTGACCATGGATTTAGGTAGGTATATGGTGAGTTTAGTTTTGCTTTATTACAAAAAGTAATTGGGTTAGTAGAGAGGGTGTGGTAGATTTACTTGGAGGGATTACCTAGAGTTTGGGCATTCAAAAAGCCAGCAGTGGTATCTCCTGTATCTACCCCTACTGGTTCCCTTATAAGTGATAAAGGGTAACAGAAAGCTTGAAACAATTTACCCGGCGCGACCTGCCTTGGCATCTTTTCATGCGTGCTGAGGGCAAGGGACAGCCAGCGAAAAAACTCTACTCCTCCCCTTTAGTGTAAATCACATTGCCAAAGCATATGTCCAGCTGTAAATACACCCACCTTTGTGTCTTCTCTGATGGTAAAACAATGTCGATCTCCACTGGAAACACTTCCCGCACTCAGAACACGAATAGGTTTTCTCCCCTTTGTGCATGCGCTGATGTTCAACAAAGCTGGACTTTCGCAAGAAACACTTCCCGCACTCCGAGCACGAGTAGGACTTCCCATCCGTGTGCATCCTCTGGTGTCTGGCCAGGTTTGCTTTCTTACCAAAGGTTTTCCCGCACTGGGAGCAAAAGTATGGCTTCTCCTGGGAGTGGGCCCCGTGCTCTGACAGTAGTTCAGTGGTGTCTGGAAAACGCTCGCTAGACTCTGAACATGAGAGCATTTCACGTGTGTGGTCTGTAGGATGGGCAACCAACTGGGAGTGATGGGGGAAGATCCCCCTATTAGTAGAGGGATCAGACAGAAGCTGTGTACCATGAAGAAGTGGATGGAGATTTGGAGTGATGGGGTTTTCTCCCAAAGAATTAGCTATGGTCTCATCTCCTGCTTCATCTCCAGAGATAACAAGCAGCCTCTCTGTATCGTAACTTTTGTATCGTCCATCTAGAAGTAAGAGATGGAGGGGTAAGGTAAAAGCAGGAGTGAAGGTTCCAGAATAAAGACATTGTATCACATCCTGTATAGTATAAAATCTAAGTGTTGTCAGAATTTGGGGGATTCCGCTTCCATCTCAGCATAATATAATTCCCAGAACACCCAATGATCTATATCCTACCCCTTGTACGCCCCACCTCGTTTCACAGCAGCAGTGAGATGACTCATCCAGTACACAGAACTATCCTTCCTTATTCCTGTATAGTATTAAAAAAAAAAAAAAAAAAAAAAAAAAAAAAAGAAGAGCACCGGAGGCCTCCAGCACACATTTCGCTTTACACCTTTACTGAGAATACCTTCATCAAGTGTTCAATTCCTCACCATCCCAACTCCTCTCCTGTGTTGTCCCACAGTTTACACTTCTTTGGTCATAGCATTCTTTTCCCAAATGCTGGATCCACCATCATACCTTCCACACTCCTTTCCTGCATATGCTGCCTGCTCCCATACATTCCTAAACATACTGCCCACCATCATACCCTCCATACTCCTCTCCTGTACATACTGCCCCTGTCACACCCTCCACACTCCTCCCCGGTACATACTGCCCACTGTCACAACCTCCACACTCCTCCCCTGTACATACTGCCCACTGTCATACCCTCCACACTCCTCTCCTGTACATACTGCCCACTGTCATACCCTCCACACTCCTCTCCGGTAGAGACTGCCACTGTCATACCCTCCACACTCCTCTCCTGTACATACTGCCCACTGTCATACCCGCCACACTCCTCTCCTGTACATACTGCCCACTGTCATACCCGCCACACTCCTCTCTGTACATACTGCCCACTGTCATACCCTCTACACTCCTCTCCTCTATAGACTGCCCACTGTCCTACCCCTCCACACTCCTTTCCTGTTTATACTGGCCACTGTCATACCCTCCACACTCCTCTCCTCTATAGACTGCCCACTGTCCTACCCTCCACACTCCTTTCCTGTTTATACTGGCCACTGTCATACCCTCCACACTCCTTTCCTGTTTATACTGCCCACTGTCATACCCTCCACACACAGCCCACTGTAATCCCCTCTAGATTCCCCTCCTGTATATACTATCTGCTGTCATACCCTCTACACTGCTCTTCGGCACATGCGGCCTGTTGTCATATCCTCCACACCCCTCTCCTGCATAAACATCCTTCACTCATAACCACCAGGCTACTTCTTTATGATTGTTTTCAATATCTCTCACTTCATCTGATCCTGGAAAGGGCACACTTTTGCTAGTTAAACTAAATCAGGAAAGTATAAACTGTTCTACAAAAATCCAGTAACTTGATTCAGCCAGTTTTTATCCTATTCCAAAAGATGCAATTTAGACAGGGGAATCACTGCAGAGGCTTTGGATGACAACATGACACACAGAGGTACTATGATGCCAATCAACCTCTGTGAGCTGAGGAGTCAGAAAGGTGCTGATGTCACTAACAGGTTCCTTTCTTCAATGCACGCTCTGAGCCAATTTGGCAGATTCTCACATTTTACTACAGTGGCAACCCCACTACATCACACAACAGCCGTTATCCCATGCTAAATTCCAGTTATGACTCTAATATGTCAAGAACACCAACAAAATGAAATAATGGAAAAGACGAGGCATGTTGATCGAGGTGAGAAGTGCTATCGAGGAATTTATTGACGACTTTCTTGATTTAGTGTTTATTACTCACCTATAGTGATCTCTGGAGGAAATTCCTTCCCCTCTTCACACGGCTCATCACTCATCACATACGGCTCTTCTGCTTCCAAATCTTCAACTTTGACAAGAACCAGGTTTTCATCCTGGTTGAGGCATAAACAACTCTTACACCTATTGGATTTAGGAAATGTTAAATATGAAGTGCAAACTGACTTTATGAAATAAAATTGCACTTACTTGATAATCATAATCAGTATCTTGGCAAAGGTCTACAGAATCTTCTGTGATTTTCTCATGTTCCTGTGTGGAGTCCCGGGAATACAAAGGGCGGGGACATCTCTCTGGTGGGTTCCCATTACTGGATCCATCTGTAGGAAACACACACACTGACTGAATACATGGTTTCTATTTCTTTATATCAGAGGATGTGCGTATCTAGGTGGATCCTCAATACAAGAAATGAACGTCTCCTCTTACCCGGTGATGTGAGGGGCGGCCGGTTCTCCATCATGACGTCCTTGTAGAGGTCCTTGTGTCCTTCTATATACTCCCACTCCTCCATGGAGAAATAGACAGTGACATCCTGACACCTTATAGGAACCTGACACACACAATGATACAGTCACCATCCAGACACATAACTTGTCTGTTACTGGAAAATGTCCCAGAATTCCCGGCACCGCTCACCTTTCCCGTCAGCAGCTCAACGATCTTCTGGGTAACTTCTAGAATTTTCTCATCATTCTCTTTCTCGGGTGTTGGGAAGTTAGGTGATGGCTCCCTCATACATCTCTGGTTCTTGCTCCATCTTACCGATGTTTGATGACAGTTGCTGGGTGTCGCATGCTGTTTTATCCCTTTCTTTACCGGTTCATAATCCTGTAAGGTAAGAAAAGCTGCAAATGTATATGTTGGAGAAACGTGCTTTACCACTGCATAAAACAACAAGCCTTTCTAATTTATTTGCAGGGCTAAATTAATAATTATTAGAAATATGAGTGATGTCATGTGACCTCCCAGAATCCTCCTCACCTCTCCGGTCAGGTCTGTGTTTTATTAATAGAGATAAGAGCGATGTCATGTGACCTCCCAGAATCATCCTCACCTCTCCGGTCAGGTCTGTGTTTTAATAATAGAGATAAGAGTGAGGTCATGTGACCTCCCAGAATCCTCACCTCTCCAGTCAGCAGGTAAATGATCTCCAGGGTGAGATGTAATATCCTTTCAGTCATGTAACTCTGTTCCATTTCCATCTTGCAACAATTGAACAACAACACGGTGCCCCTTTTTCATATAATTGGCTTCAAATTGACCTGATGTAAAAAAATCAATAAAAATTTGGAATACCTGATAAGAAAAGAAGTACAAACATCTTTGTACTTCAGTGATCTTTGGCAAGAAATACAAGAGACATCCACAGATTTGAAGGGATACAATTCAAGTGTAGAGAAGTAGTAAAATTTTGAGCCAAGTTTTTGAAAGCAGGACCTGAACTGCCATCATCCTGGAATCTGTCAGTGCTTCGCACAAAAGCTCTATCCCCTGAGCTCTATCCCCAACTTCCTTACACTACCTCCATATCCACAATTCAAGATTGTATTATTTTAGATTCAGGATAGTTGAGGGAAGGAGCAGAACCCCGGTCAGCTTTCCTTTTGTTGTCTGTGTCCCCACTAAGGAGATTTCCTTTACTTTCTGTCATGGAGACACAATAGGAAGTGAAAGGAAATCTCTCTACACCGATGGTCAAAAACTATTCAGACAGTTCTCACCGCAACAGGTGTTCCTGTTGAGGGAACATATGTAAGACTAGTCAGTGCTTTTGTTTGAAAAAACATGACTGAACTAGAGAAACGAGCGGTCCACACACGAGAAAGGGGCCTTAGGCTGCAGTTCTACTTTAAGGATGAATTCCAGAAATTCAGTTACTTAAAAACTGCATGCATAACAGGATTTACGTCTAACGAGGCTTATCTCTATTATTCACATCTGACAGATTTATTGTGCTCCAGGAAGATAACTTCTGGAGCTCCAAGGCTGCTCACTGCAGATTCCCTGGAACTGTCATGTCCACCCCTCCTTCAGCTCATTTACAGAAGCCTTTGTATTATGTGAACTCATTCACCAAATACAAGGCTTCTGTGAATGAGCAGCAGGGGAGAGGGGGCGGGCATAGCGGATCTGTGTGTTTCTCTCCTTTCACAGCCGCAGTGTAACCTCCAGGGACAGCAATAAACCTGCCACATATAAGGAACAGAGATAAGTCCCAGAGGTGACATGCACCTAACTGGAATTAAAGTGTTACTAAACCCACAACAGTACAATCAGTCTGTATATGCAGTAAAGCATGCTTGTTGTACTCACTGTGGAACCTAAGGGGTTAATCCTCTGCAGTGTGTAAAAACACTGTTTGATCCTGTCTTCTTTGATTCTACCCTTATCTTCTGATAAAACATATCGTGCGGAGTCACTCTGCACATGCTCAGTTTGCTAGAGGTTTTTTTTTTTTTCCTTGGGAGAGTGCATGTGATCAGCACTGGGCCAATCTGAACTGTCCAGACAGAGGACAGGGGTCCTGCATCCTCCTAGAGCAAAATGAAAACTCCTACAAGATTAACCAGTGCTTGGTCGCATACTGATAGAAGTCACAAGACTGCTCTATACTGCTGATGAGAAAAAATATTTAGCAGTTTACATTTAAAAAATAATTGCATTTCCATGTTCTGTGTACTGTGGAAGACCAGATATATTGAATGCGGGTTCCGGGGAGAGCGGACAGGCTGAATGCGGGGTCCGGGGAGAGCGGACAGGATGAATGCGGGGTCCGGGGAGAGCGGACAGGCTGAATGCGGGGTCCGGGGAGAGCGGACAGGCTGAATGCGGGGTCCGGGGAGAGCGGACAGGCTGAATGCGGGGTCCGGGGAGAGCGGACAGGCTGAATGCGGGGTCCGGGGAGAGCGGACAGGGTGAATGCGGGGTCCGGGGAGAGAGCGGACAGGGTGAATGCGGGGTCCGGGGGGAGAGCGGACAGGGTGAATGCGGGGTCCGGGGAGAGAGAGCGGACAGGGTGAATGCGGGGTCCGGGGAGAGAGAGCGGATATGGTGAATGTGGGGTCGGGGAGAGCGGACAGGATGAATGCGGGGGGGGAGAGCGGACAGGATGAATGCGGGGTCCAGGGAG